CCACTGTTACACCCGTCGTGGGGACAGTCTGGGTTCGGTCGGAGGCTTCTCCGGGGCGTTGGGAGCAAAACGAGCTCAGCTACACAGCTCCTGGCTGAGCTTGTTGGCTGCTGGCCTCGGAGCCCCCACCGGCGGTGCCGCTTCGGGAATTTGAAGCGGTAATTCATTCGGAGTTTGTGCGGCAAAGGTGGCGCGGCAGCCCTGCAACTCCACTCTGCTGCCAGTCAGGCAAAGGGATTCTAAAATGACTCCCTAAGAGTTGGCTGATCTGAGGAGAGAGGTAAAATGGGAGCGCTGCGAAGGAGGAATTTGGAGAGCATCACGGAGCCTTCTGGCCAAGGCTGATTTTTGCATCTTGCTGGGAAGAATGTGTGGGGTAAAAACAAGTTTTGGAAGTGGCCTGTGAGATCTGGGGCTTGGGCACTCACCTGCGCTTTGGGGGAGAGGGGGATGCCAGGTATGTTTACCCTCCAGGCTTTTAGGCAGTTCTCTGCTGGTGCTTCACTGTCCTGGTGCCACAGGGGGGTGGATTTTTGTGCTGAATTAGCGGGTAGTGATGGCTTCTCTGCGTGGAGTCTGTGCTGGGCAAAATAGGAGACGCCATCGGTGGTCCTGCGCTATGATGAACCTGAGGCAGATGTGTCACCTCTGCGTGTGGAGACTGTCACAGGGAAACGAATCCTCTGGAGGCAGGTTTTCCAGCACCCCGGTGGCACGGGGGAGAAAGCTGAAGGGGACAAAACCACATGACCTTGTTTGGCCTCTTGGTGGTGAAGCCTGAAGTGTGACTCTGAAAGCTTTTTGATGCCTTGTGTGTGAAATGTTTTGCTGCAACCTCATGGTTCAACCCCTTCATGCTTCTCAGTGGAGAAGGTGGACCTTGGTTGGAGCCATGGGGTGTGGGGTGGTGCTGCTGTCGCGTGGTGCATGGCTCATGCTTAAAGAGTGAAGTCCTAACCGCCATGAGGGATCCTCACCTTGTGTCCTCACAAAAGTTATTTGTCTCGAAGATCTTGCGTGTCCCTTAATGTGAGTGAGGAGGACCTTCAGACACACCTGCTGCTCTGGTGTTGGTCGTTCTGCCTGATGTCAGCTTGACAGACTGGAGGTGAGACTTAGCTGGGTGTGATGACAGCTGCTGGGTGTCTCTGTTGGCAGGTGAAGGAGCTGGTTCTTGATAATTGCCGTTCGGACGATGGGAAGATCGTTGGTCTCTCTTCAGATTTTGAGAACCTGGAGTTCCTCAGCATGATCAACATCAACTTGCTGTCTGTCTCCAATCTCCCCAAACTCAACAAACTCCGGAAGGTGAGTCAGACCTCTGGTCCCATCTCCGGCAGTCCTTGCTTGGGGACTTCTGCTACTCTGTCCCTGCTGACAGTAATTTTTTCTGCATCTACCAGTAAAAGGCCATTTGAATTTGCTTTTTCCTCTGCAGCCTACAACCTGAGCAAGTGAAAGGTGTTTTTTCAGTATGCAATAAAATGCTTTTAAGCTCATCGTACGTTTAGCATCCTTTCTCTTGCTTTTGCTGTTGTGCTACTCAGAGGTGCTTCAGTAACATCATAAATATTTTGAGTTTTAGAGCCCCTGTGTCCTGCCGTACAGAGGTGGCTGGGAGTGCTGTGTTACCACGGGAAGGGGCTTTCAAGTGAAAACTTGGAACTGTTGCTCTGTGGTGTGGTCTAACAAACAGGATCTGGAGCTTGGGTGCTGGGTTCTCAGGGCAATTTTATTCCCCATGTTGCAAGCTGAGACACTTTGTGACCATGTGATACTCCCTCCTGGCAGCTGGAGCTGAGTGATAACAGGATTTCTGGTGGCCTTGAAGTTCTAGCAGAGAGAACTCCTAACCTGACACACTTGAATCTAAGCGGCAACAAGATCAAAGACATCAATACCCTGGAGCCCTTGGTGAGTGGAAGGCTGTGCTGGAATCTAAGGGATGACGTTGTTTCCTTTGGGGAGCGTGTCTGTGCAGCAGAAGTCCAATCTCTTGGTAACTGTTCCAACAGCACTTCGTGGTTCTGATGGGAACAGATGAGTGGGTCCAATTTGAGGCTGGGCTAATAGTTAATGGCTCCTCTGTCTGGAAAACCAGCAGCCAGTTGCTAAAAGAAGCATGAAATTGGGCTGGATGAGTAAAACTGTGGATGCAGTGCTCAGTGTCCATCTGAAAAAGGACCGTTAATGGGTCGGATGCAGTTTGAGGTAGGTGGCACCTGGGGTGTCATGGAGATGAGTTGGTTGGACACCAGTGAGGGTGTCCATTGCATCAGTCCGAAGGCGCTGTTGTGCTGGGCTGGGACCCTCTCACCCTGGGTGCTGTCACAGCATGCATCGCAGGGCGTTCCCGTGGCACCTGAACTGCCCCAGAGAAGGCTCTTGCCTTGTGATCCTGACTCTGTAGCTGAAAGGCCTCATCTAGGGCACTTGCCTCGTTAGCTGTTGCCTTTGGTCCCTCCATCCCCTCCAGAAAGAGCATGAAACTGGTTTACTCCTCCTTCTCCTGACCTGGTGCACGGTGCGATGGCCCGAGCGGCAGAGCTGCTGTGGCTGTGCCGAAAGGCACACAGGCGCAGTCTGCACGTCTCCGTGCGTTGTGCTCTCAACAGTATTTTGCCTCAATCAGGTATTTTGCCTGATGTTTTGGGCAGGATGAGTCCGGCTCAGTGATTCCTCCTGCTCGGGGCAGTTGGGCTTTCTGTGCTTGTTGCCCACCCCGTTCAGAAGGGAGTAAGATTTGCAAATGGTTTCACAGGGAGCTGGCTTCAAGGAGGGGAAACTAGGACAGAGGAGCTAAAAAGAAATCTTTGCCTGCACTTAGCAAGAGCGGTAACTCCTCTCCATCTGAGGAGCACACGGTGCAAATCATGCATGCAAAGGCACTTCTGTGCTAGATCTGGGTAGCAAACCAGCTGTCCTCTGGTGGCCACCTGATCGTCAAACAGTGTCAGCCTGTAAATAATCGAACGAATTGATCTTTGCAGAAAAAGTTGCCAAACCTCCATAGTCTGGACCTCTTCAACTGTGAGGTGACGATGCTCATCAACTACCGGGAGAGTGTGTTCACCCTTCTGCCTCAGCTCACCTACCTAGACGGATTTGATGCTGATGACCAGGAAGCCCCTGACTCAGACCCTGAAGCAGATGGAGATGGACTGGAAGATGATTATGAGAATGGGGAAGGTGAGGATTTTCTCCTCTTGGTTTTCTCGCTGGGAAACAACCCATTTTTCCCCTTCTGCATGGTCATGTTGCTAAATAAATGGTGATTATAACTTGCTGCTAAGGTAGGGGCTGTGTGGGCAGCCCTGCTCCCCCCTTTGTTAGGCTGCGTAAGCCATGAGAGTTGCTGCAGGCTGACGGGAGCGCCAGCAACAAGCCCTTGCGCACGCGTCTTCTGTGGGATTTCCTGCCCGTTGCTCCCGAAGCACTGGGGTTGGAGGTGCGAGCGTTTTGTCTGGGAGCAGCGAGTGTTTGGGAGCCACGACGCTTACTTCCCTTTGCTTTTGGTAGAAGGTGAGGAAGAGGATGATGATGATGAGGAAGATGATTTGGATGAAGAAGTCATTGATGATGAAGAAGATGAAGATGATGATCTGGAAGGTGAAGAGGAGGAGGATGGAGTAGATGATGAGGTGAGGCTTTCTGTCATACTTCGGTATGTTTGGTAGTGCTTTTGTCCCTTAATCTGGTGACCCATCTGAGAAGATGTCACAGATGTGGGCAGATCAGAGGGGTGCTGCGGTGCGCTCTGGCTTTTCCCCATACGTTTTTTGACTCCTGGTCCACAGAGTTTGCCAGTTCACGCTTGTTAATTGCTTGGCCTGGTACTTCCCGTGGCTTCAAGTGATAAAACCTTACGGCCGCGTTTGTAGGGATGCAAGAAGCTCTTTAGGAACCGACAGCTTCTCCCTGCTCGGCTTGTACCTGCCGCCCTGAGGCTAGAGTAGGGCGGGAGCAGCGGTGAAGGAAGATGTTGGTATGGAATTACACCTTGCTCATGGGATTGTGGTTCTTGCAACAAAGCGTCTTGTTTTGCCTCCAGGAGGAAGATGAGGAGGAAGACGGCGAGGACGATGAAGAAGATGAAGCTGATGATGGTGAGTCAAATCCTAACAACTTAAGTGCTTGCAAAGCTGCCTCAACAGTCTCACACATGTGTTGTTTTTGTAGAGCTTCCCAAGCTTCAGCGCAGCGCCGTTGTTGCCTGCAGCTTTTCCCTGGTAGAAAGCGCGGCGTTTCTGGTTAGGGGTGCTGCTGAAGCTGTTGTTTATGCCTAAGTTGACTATGGAACAGTGGTTATAAACAGGAGGTCACACAGTGGTGATGGGGCAGTGGGTTTCAGTGCCTGCTAATGCAAGTGAGCTGGGTAAGTCAGCCAAATATTAAAAAGAGAAATTGCCTAGAAACCCGGTTCTAGCTTGAACTGAGAGTCCGTGGAGGAACACAGCTTCTGTCACAGCAGCTCACGTTAGCAGTGTGCGTGAGGAAATGCTTTTGGAGAGACGTGTTTCTCCTCTAAGCGTAGAGAGGAGCGTAGACCTGAGCTCCTTGACTTGAGTCCAGACTCCTCTGGTTATCACAAACTATAAACACCCAAACGAACGTTGACAAACTGTAGTGGCTGGCGTGACTTCAAATGATCTCGTATGAGCTTGGTCAGAACTGACGGAATTCTGCAGATGCTACGTTTTTGGGGGTGCTCAACAAAAAACCCCGTTTTCAAGCAGCTGTTGAGACGTGGGATGCTTGGAGGGCACAGAAAATAGTTAATGGCTTGTGCTAGTCCAGGCTTTGCTGGGTGCCATGAGAAACTGGGCAGGGTGGATCTCAGCTCCGTAATGGTGCCAGTCTAGTCTGTGCTTGTTCACCAGCAGCTGTGGCTGACGCAGCTTCGAGCCACAGCTCAAGTACTGTTCCGCAAGACTGAACAGAGCTTCACGCTTCGCCTCTCTTTGCAGACCTTCCGCGAGGGGAAAAGAGAAAACGAAATCTAGAGGATGAAGGAGAGGAAGATCCAGAAGACGAAGAGGACGATGAGGATGACTGATCCCAGCGAGCCAATCAGTTTTACAGACTATGACTGTGCTTGTCTTAACCTCCCCGTTGTGTCTGTGTGAGACTGTAAATCCCCGTCTCCCACTCCTCCCCCCTTTGTATGGCTGCAGCGTCCACAATATATTTTTTTAAGATGTAGAATACTGTAGGCATTCAGGGGAATCTTCCATACAAGGCTCACTTTCTCACAAGTATCTCATGACCAAAGGCTTTCTCCGTTCTGTGGTTTGTGCAGCAGTTTGCAAAAAAAAAAAAAAAAAAAAAAAAAAAAAAGAAAAAAAATAGAAAAAAAAAAAAATTCCTCCTAGGGGTATCTTTCGTGTCTGAAATCGGCCTTGCCACACTGGACCCAGAGCTCCAGCTCGCCGCCCTGCCTGACGGCAAAGAAGGCGTTGGCGATCCGCGTGCCCTCAGCCCAGCTTTCTGAAGACGCTTGAGCCATCTTGAGCAGTGGGTGCAAATCTGGTTCATCTAAATGGACTTGAAGCGAATGACCGCTGAGGGCTCTCTGATCAGAAATCATGGTGATGTGATCTCTGGAGATGCTTGAAGATACTTTAGTGCTGGGGAGGGGGGGTTGCCTGGGGTCTTGGGGAGGGAGGGTTGGCTGCTTGCAAGACCTGGTACCTCTGAGGATGCACCTTGCAGTAGCCCTGCACTTGCTTTCCTATTTTTTTTTTTTTTTTTATAAACTGGAATATTTTTCCCAGTGGCCACCTAATAACTTTCACTTGGATGTCCAAATAAGTCTGATTTATTTTTATTTTTTTTTTGCGGCCGTGAGCGTCTTTGCTGTGCTGAGGTTTCTCGTCACCCCGCGGCAGCCTCTGCCTTTAGGAAGAGATAGGAAATAGCAGGTTAAGGGATACTGCACTTCTGTCAAACTCCGTTTCGCACTGTACAGAACACGTTCAACCAGTATCACTGTGATGCACCTAACTCGGCGTTCCCCGGGAGACCGTGTTAGCCTATATATTCTCAGGGTCCTTCTGCTAGCCAGTACCAGCTCTGGACAGTTGCCTCGGCGGTAGCTTGGTGTACACCTCCTCCTCCTCCTCCTCTTTCCTTTTCAGCACGAAGAGAAGTGGTTTGAGGAGAAATCCAGCTCTCCCACTCATGTTTGCACTCTGCGGCAGCACCGATGGTGCCGCAGAGCACGTGTCCCCCCGGCCCTGCGGTGGCTGGAAGGGGAAAGGGGGGGATTCATCCAGGCGTAGCTCTCCGCCGGAGGGTTTCTGACCCTTTGCTCACCCTTCCTCTGCCTGGAGGTGTTCAGCTGGCGTGTCCCTCGCCTTCTGGGGAGAACTGGCCCCGTGGCATCCAAGGGATGGTAACTGCTCAGTGCTGGGTGCCGGAGAGCCGCGCTGGGGTGGGAGTAACTGCTGTTCCTCCTGCCGCTGAAGCTCCCCACGGGTGCAGACGCACTGGCACTTTGCGGCGTTCCCGGTGGTTGCTCTGGGCAATCTGTCGGCACCCGGCGCTCGGCGGCGAGACTCGCGGCGGTTCCTTCAGAGGAGCGGTGTGTGTTGCAGCACATCCGAGTTTCTGTTGCTTTGTTCTGTTCTTGCTGTTGTCTCTTGCATTGTACAGTAGCTGTAACCATTCGGAGAAGAACTAGTCCTGTAAAATGCAAACTGAGTAACTTATAAATGTTAAAGGAATTTTAAAAAGAAATTTCAGAGCAGCAGTTACTTCTAATTTTTCCCTGCATTTTTAGCAGATTGTATGGATTTTATATTAGCCTAGTAACTGTCAGGTTTTGATTGGTCAGACTAGTCCCAGAAATAAGGATCTCCAGCCCTTTTGTATCTTTTGTTACAAAATTTGGATAAAACTTTTAATAAAGACTTCAGTTTTTAAAAATCCATTGCCATGAATATTGTTGTCTCGGCTGCCCTCTGCTCGAGGAACGCCTGAGCTGCAGCCAACCTGCAGGAGCGCTGGGTGGAAGTTTTGGGGCAGTTTTTCTGGGGTCTCTTTTGGGAGTGGTGACTGTCCTGTGTCCCCAACGTGACCTGGCTTTGCTCCGAGCTGCGGCTGGGTGGATGCTCGGTGAGTGGGGCTGGGCTGGCAGGGCTGATTTGGGAACTTCAGGGCTCCTCTTGGGGATGGGGCTGGAGCAGGGTGCTCAGGTTTGGGATGGAATGGCCCAAACCATCCCGAGTCCTGGCACAGATGCGTCTGCAGGACCCGCACGTGATGCAGGAGGTGGCCGCAGCCGAGCTCGTGTGGTCAGGGAGAGGTTGGGGAAGGGTCCCGCTGCGGGGTTTAGGGTGGGCACCCCCATTCTGCCCTGCAGGAGGACACTGGGTGTTTGGGGTATGGCAGTCGGCTGTGCTGGGGGGGTCAGGGCAGCAGCCTGTGCCTGCTGGGGCTGGAGGGGTCCAAGCTGCGCTTGATGCCACCGTGCTCCCCCCTTGTTGGGGGCTGGAGGGGTCACTCACTGTGCTGGGGCTGTGTGGTCCTGCTCTGGCTCTGTAACGAGTTGCTGCTCCATCGGGTCTCAGCAGCCGGGGGCTTCAGCGCATCTGTCCCCCCCGCTCAGGGCCTGCAGTGAGGGGGTGTCTGTGACGGATGGGGGGACGAACGACAGCCCCAGGCCCTGCGGGGACTGGAGTGCCCCTCCATGCTGCCCCCCCCGTCCACCCAGTCCTACCCAGCATGGCTGAGGGCATCCCCCTCTGCAAATACAGCCTTGCCACCCCCTCCCCACCCAGATGGGTGACTGTGGGGCTGCCCCACTGCAGTGGGGAGCGGTCCCACTCGCTCCTGTTCATGGCAGCAGCAGCGTTGGAGCTGCAGCTCGGTCTGTCCGGCCCAGTCTGTCCGTCCAGCTGGCTCTCCGCTCCCCCCAGTTTCTCTCCAGCCTCGCCATCCTCGTCTGGGGGTCAGTGGTGCCTCTGGCTGGTGACCCCCCCCCAGGGCACAATCCCCACCGTGGCGAGGCTGCCCAGCACAGAGGCGCAGTGTGGGGTGAGCAGTGATGGTCCACAATCTGTTCCCCCATCAATGGGAGGATGGCACGGCCAACACGGCCAGACGGCCTTCGACCCCTCCTGAGCCCCCGTCACGGGGCAGAGCTGTGGCCATGGGGGTTCTGCTCTGTGCCCCCCTCCGCTTGGCATACCCCCAGCAGGGCTGCGCGCTCGCTGCCGGCAACGGGCAGGGGAGGTGTGAGCGTGAACCCCCCCAGGACCTGTGTTCTGGGGTGAATGTGGGAAAGGGGCAGCTCCAGGGCTGAGCTGGGAGGAGGGGAAAAATTTCCCCTGGGGTCTATGTCCCCTCTTGGGGCTGGTGGCAGCTCCGGCCCCCCCCGGGGTGCGGGGTAGAGAGGTGCCAGCGCGGCCGTCCCTTGCTGCGGCGGTGGCTGGTGCCCGGCCAGCGAAGGCGGCGTGGGCACCGGCATGCGGGGGCATGCCATGGCACAAACCAGTTTGCAGCAAACTTTTCAGCTCGCTGGGATGGGGTCCGGCACCTGCGCGGGCAAAGCGGGACCCGGAGAGTCCCCCCCGGGTGGGAACGCACGGTCGCTCAGCTCCCACGGGGTGGGGGTGGGGGGTGCAGCTCTGACCCCCCCAGGGTTTGGGATCGGGGCACGGAGGAGCCGTTGGGGTGGAATAGGGGCCCCATTCTCCTCCTGGTGCCGAGGAGCACCCTGGCACCCCCGTTCATGGTGGGGTGGGGGGGACGGCCGGGCACTGAGGCTGTTTGGGCGCTGGAGAAGGGGCTGAGGTCCTGCCCTGGTTGGGGTACCCGATCTGGATGCCGGGGTGCAGCTGGCAGAGGGTCCAACTCTGCTTTTCAGGAACCCTTCATGGTTTGGGATGCATTGATGCAGCCCCTGTACCCCCCATCTGCCCCTTCCTTTGGGTGGGGGGTACCCTTAGGTGCACCCCATCGTCCCCAGCCACCGTGGGGACTGACAGAGGCTCTCCTGGATGACGCTCCTGTACAATTCCCATTTATTATTTCGAGACCTCATTCCAGAGAAGTCCACTAACTCCTGAGCAACCTACCGGGCTCCCCCCAGAGCCCCTGGAGCTGAAGCAATGAAACCGTTAGGGGAGGGAGACGAGGGGTTCCGGGGGTTTAGAGTTTCCCAAAATAAAAGGGAGGGTAGAAATTCAAGAGGAAAAAAAACATTCCTCCCTCCGCCACCCTGTGGATGAAGGATGGAGCTGGAGGATGCTCCGGGTACCCGGGAAGGGGGTCCCTGTCCCAGCGCGGTGGCATGGGGCTGTGCGGTGCCCCCCTGCCTGGTTTGGGGGGAGGGGGAGGGATGGGGAGGAGCAGGAGCAGTCCCATGGGAGCCGCGGGCATCAGAGCTGGGAGTACAGGGAGTTCTCCATCTCCGGCGTCAGCTTGGCGTGGAAGGAGGCGATGCCCACCCCGAAATCTGGAGGGAGAAGGAAGAGAGCCGTCAGCACCGTGGCCAA